TTCCTTCCACTTTGATCACAGCTCGCAAAGTGTCACCCGTCTTGTGACAGACCTCGTTCGAGCAGGAATCCATACTGTACGAAATAAGGCGCATCTTTTCTTAGTTAAATGTAATAGTGGGCTGTATGAAATGTATTCACCGTATATGGTTGAAACTGATAAGAAGACAGCTAGTAGAATTTTCCCATAAGCATATGAATAGACCTTAACGCTTACAATGCATTTCATATATCCTTGCTTTCCCACAAGGTATTCTCATCCAAGCAGAAGGGGACTGCATTTTCGATCTCACCTGAACTGGTTTCATCAGCAACCCCAGCTAGACTCGGGCCATGAAACGCAACGGCGTAATATATACGAAGAAAAGTTTGGTTTCGAGGAATCTCTTGTTTCATAATTGTTGAGTTTACTTCAATTTCGAGTGAAAGTGTTTGGTGAAGAGTATCTAAAGTCGATTCCATCAAAAGACGACGGCCAATTCTTCTTGACCAGCTGTTGATTGACTTTACTGGAACATTCTTGTTGACACCGTTTCCGTGGCAATCTTCTTCGATTCCAGTGAAATGGGTGCTAAAGTTTCGTCCATCACATGACGAACCTCATTCGAGCATGGTATCATCGTCACAACCAAATTCAAGCTAACGAGTCAAGTTGTGACGATGATACTTTGCTCTGATGATGTTCGTCATAAAATGGACGAAAGCCAATCGACAGTTTGTCAAGAGGAATCGGCCTTCGAATCTCTTCACCAAACACTTTCACTCGAAATGGAAGTAAGCTCGACAAAGTTACTCAACTTGCTGCCCTCATTTCCTACTTTTAACGTTATTCATAATCTGCTTATTTCGATGGCATCTCTTAACTTGTGTCTTGCTTTAGAGCATAAGCAACAAACCGAAACATTAAGGGACGTTAGATCTCGTTTTCGGCTTCTGCTGTCAGCTCATTAACTTATGACCGTTGAATAAAACGGGCTCAACGGACATTTGGCGAATATGACGAAAAATCTCGCGAACGCACAACCACTAACTGTTGTATGTGAAAATTCTATTTGGCTTCACTCTTAAAGTGAGTATAATCGAAGAAAGTATGAGGGTTTATTTAAAGAATTTTCAACTTCTTCATCCCCACCCATTCGTCAATCTTTCAAACATGAGGGTCAAATGTGCGCTGGAAAAATGAGGTCGGTTTTGATAGTGTGGGCTGCCGTTCTCAGTGGGAACATTCAGCCATCACTTCGTTTTCATCGAATACGGGCTAGGGTGACTTCGCTCCTTATATGGGAAAGACTCTCCGTTCCCAGGCCTCTCTCGCATCAAACAGTCCCCGTCAGAAGAGGTAATGCAGAATACCTGTTGTCAAAATCATAGCACTTCTGGATTAGCCAACTTTATATCAAACTTAATTTCAACCGCAAAATCCCTATTCACAGTCATTCACTTTAAGTTTCCACTTCTAACTGTATACCAAATGAATGCTACTATTGTAGACAAGTGTCAGAGGGACAGTCATTTCTGTCGTGTCTCCTTCAAGCATCGAATGGTTGACCTGAAGGAGCTGACTGATAGTTTGTACCTTACTCAGCATCGACCAGTCTTAATACCGAGAGGTAAATAGACAGTGGCAATTCTTCTGTTAACTCATTATGCCATCTCTTCTCCTCTGTCTTGGTACCTATTCTGGCTGATAGAGCTCTACCCAAAGCCTTCACTCGCGCTTCGTATGGTAAATTTTCCCATTTACACCGCTCTGCATCCCCTTTTCGTCCAAAATACATCAAGCAAATTCCCATTCTCGAGTCCTGAATGAGGCTCAGTCCCTTTCACCTCCGCTTTCGCGTCCTGTCTGCAGGGCTTCCTGATCCCATTCGCTACCTCCGGTCGTGAGACCCCTTTGCCCATCACCTGTCATATTGAACTAGACAAATATAATAATACTTCGTCCTGGGATTATTGATGGTCTCGAAAGCTACTCATGTGTAAATTGACGTCATCGAATGCAATTGCAAACGAATGTATGCTCATTAGACAATCACACTAGAAAAGTGTAAGTCGGTAGTGGCTTGATCTGTCGTGAATATCGCATCTGTCGTGTGACCTGCTGGCGCTCGTGTCTGTGTGGCGGAGTGGTGACGTCGACAAACTAGTCGCGCCCCATCATTGATGCCCACTGAGGGTGCTGACGAGACCTATTCGAGGTCAAGCGGTTGTCCAGGCCATACCAAATGAGCTAAGCTTTCGATGGGCATCTTGGGGCATACTCATCTGAATGTGGAATAAACTCAACTATCAGTCCCTAACTCAATCTAAGTGTTGAGCTTACTTCCATTTCGAGTGAAAGTGTTGGGCGAAGAGATTCGAAGGTCGGTTCCACCAGAAGACGACGGCGGATTTTTCTTGACCAGCTGTCGATTTCTTTGCTGGAACATTCATGCTGACGCTGTTTCCGAGGCAATATCCTTCGATTATGGCAAAAAGGTGCTAAGCTTTCGTCACACCTCGTTAGCTTGAATTTTGTTGTGACGATTTTACCTCGCTCTGATGATGTCCGTCATATGACGGACGAAATCAAGCCTGAATTTTGTTGTGATGTTGTTACCTCGCTCTGATGATGTCCGTCATATGACGGACGAAAGCTCTCTTTGAATAGGAATCGAAGGAGATTGCCTCGGAAACAGCGTCAGCATGAATCTTCCAGTAAAGCCAATCGACAGCTGG